CAAAAATTGTGTCAAAAATGGTGTCAAAAATTGTGTCAAAAATGGTGTCAAAAATGGTGTCAAAAATTGTGTCAAAAATGGCGCTAAAATAGTAGTAAAAAGGTGCTGAAGTGATACTAAAATAGGGCCAATGTGAATACGTACGCTATAAAAAATAACAGCGATGGAAATGCATTCATGGAAAAATAAAAAAAAAAAAAAAAAAAAAAAAAAAAAAAAAAAAAAAAAAAAAAAAAAAAAAAAAAAAAAAAAAGAAAAAAAAAAAAGCAAATAAACGAATAAACAAAAAGCAAATAAACGAATAAACAAAAAGCAAATAAACGAATAAACAAAAAGCAAATAAACGAATAAACAAAAAGCAAATAAACGAATAAACAAAAAGCAAATAAACGAATAAACAAAAAGCAAATAAACGAATAAACAAAAAGCAAATAAACGAATAAACAAAAAGCAAATAAACGAATAAACAAAAAGCAAATAAACGAATAAACAAAAAGCAAATAAACGAATAAACAAAAAGCAAATAAACGAATAAACAAAAAGCAAATAAACGAATAAACAAAAAGCAAATAAACGAATAAACAAGTAACCAAATAAACAAATAACCAATTAATGAGTTGAAAAAATAAGCAGCAAAACAGTTAAGCAGCTAAGCGCTAAGCAATTAAACAATTATACAAATGAACACTTAAAAATAAGTACACTTCGATAAATAACACTCGCCTTTAACATTTTTGAAGGAATATTTTTGCTAGAGTTCTCTCCTAATTGAAGGAAGCAAAACGGTAAAAAGGATGGAGTTATTTATATATGTAGTTTTTCTAGCCTCTGTTTGGGCATGTATACTTGTGCGACCCGTGTGTGCAATCCAGTAAGTGACATATTTTCGACATGTATGCAATATATAAACCCCGCTGCACGTTTTTGAAAAAAAAAGAAAAAAACTTCACATTGGAGATATCAAGGTTGTCCTTTTGTTTTCAGATGCATGAATTGTATTACACAAAAAAAAAAAAAAAAAAAAAAAAAAAAAAAAAGCAACAAGTGCCATAAAATATATACCCATCCGTTATATAACGTTTAAGAAGAATATATGTACATGTGATATTACATTATGTCGTGTAATATGCTACACACTACATCATGATGCATAACGATTGGTCATTATGCGAAACAATGCAACAGGATGTATATGCTGCTGAAGGACACACCAGGGTGTGTATATATATATATTATACACACACACACCATAAAAATGTATACATTACATTCCCTCGCTCTTGTTGAAATGTGTTTAGGATTTTGTCATTCAGATATATTCACAATTGAAAGGTGTGTGTATGGATAGATGGGTGGGTGGAAACTCAGTTTGTTAGGAAACTTTTTACTCTTAACGGTTTGAGAAATCACGTGTAGTACTTCATTTTTTGAATTGTCCATGTGAAAAATGAACCAAAAAGGGAAAACATAAAAAAGGGTATTGAGGGGGCGAAATTGGATCAAACAAAATAAGCATAATAGAAAAAGTAAAACGAAGCTTATACCTCCCCGCAGTTATATAAATCCTTTTCACGACATCGTTTTTTTTTTTTTTTTTTTTTATGCTTAGAATTAAAAGGTTTGTTAAAAAAAAAAAAAAAAAAAAAAAAGAAAAAACAGAAAAAACAGAAAAAACAGAAAAAACAGAAGAACCGCTGTTGTGCGTGCGATGCATCAAACGTTTATACAAAAAATGTTAAGAGGAAGGGGTACCGAATGACTATAAAATGATGCAATGTTTTGCAAAATAGACTAAAGCAGCGAAATATAGCACAACGTAGACTACCATGTAGCTGAATAAAAGGTTTGTTTTTTCATGGATAAGTGCAAAATAAAGATTTGGCACCCAGGGGGTGATATAAATGAAAAGAAAAAAGTATTCCAAAGGAAAACAATATTACGAAAAAAAAAAAAAAAAAAGAAAGGAAATGAAATGAAATCAAATCAAAAGAAAAGAAAAGGACAAATTAAATTTTAGTATATATCTGACACCGTTTTCGTGTCAAACTATATGCACATATATATATATATATTTTATTTTTCAATGGCACAAAAAAAAAATTGTATTAAATAGTTTCCTTGTCCTAACGACAATTCAATAGATTATATGCCCCTGGCGTTTTGCTACTCCTTGAGCTCCAGGCCAGTTTTATTATTTTCCCTTGCCTTTTACTTCCTTTCATCCCATTGCAATTTTCCGTCCTTCGAGCTCAACTCATTTTTTGCTTTCTCGTGTACTCACTTGAATAGGTGTATATAAAAGAGCCGAATGTTGTCAACAGTATCCCTATGGTGGTATATACATTCAGTTCCTCCGCATGATAAAATTTACTTATAAATGTCTGCATAGTTGATTTAACATTTCCAAACATATTAAAAACAACATTGTCCGTGTAGTGAATACATAGGAAGGAGGAAAAAGTTACGAAAATGGATGAAATACCTGGGTGAAAATAAAGGGTCATATGTAGGGAAATTATGAGGTGAGGTATAAAAAGCGTAGAAATGGGTAAGCACGTGCAGGCTGTTACGTTTTCCCCTGGTTGTGCATGCCATTTTTCCGATGTCGCGTTTGTTATAAATGCACATTTTTCATTCACGTTTTGAATTCACGTTTTGGGAGGCTCTATTTTCCTTCCCCCCATTTACACCCCCCTTTTCTTTTCAGAAACTCACATGACAAAGTCAGGTAAAAATAAACATGACAACTCAAGTTGAATATTTCCATTATGTCCCCTGTTATGAACAGGTAGATAAATAGGATGGTGGACGAGTATATCAAATTATAATACAACATAATCGTTTTGTTTTTATAAATCATCAATTTTTGCTTCAGTAAGTTTAAGTGGATTGCTTGGATGATCGAGACCATTGTTCCTGAGTAGGAGGTGGAAAGGTCGATAAAATGGGGATGTAATTGGTTTATGAGGCGCGTCGAGGGTGTCGTTCTGTCTGGCAAGTCGCGTGCTGAACCTCCCCAAAGACAAGTACATGTGTATGTATATATATATACTCCTCCCTACTCATGTACATCGATTAAACTATCTATGCTCAAGACAGTGCACACAATATATGTGTTCGCCTATGCACTTTTGGATGAACATTGAATTCTCCAGAGCTATGTCTATCCACCACATTGTTTTTCCCTGAAGAACAATACATAGAGGAATTCTGGTTATCGTTTTATGCACTGCCTAATTATGTGTTGTACATATTGGAGTGCATAGGGAAAGATGATTAAAATATTGCGCTTGTTGGGTTGATACAGCACGAGTAGATTCTCTCTCCATCTTTCCGTCTTTCGATCTCTCCACCTCAATCATAGCCAAACCGTATAAAACCGATCTAAAGTTGGTATTCACTGCATCCACGGAAAAAACAAAGAATCCTAGCGAAACCAATATACATGCCCATATCATCATAAAAGTGAATTTTATTTGCTTGAAAAAAAAGTACGAGAACAGGAAATTAAAAGGTAATGTCATAGATCTTGCTAGCTGATAAGATGATATATTTGTGTATTTCAAACATATGTTTCCAAAAATTAAAGTAAAATTGAACGATATAATTATTTTCCACATATGTTTAATTCCTTCATATAAAGAACATATTTCCCCCTTAATGTTATCCTTCTTTTGTTCCCTCGTAAGATAACATTTGAATATATGTAAAGGTATCAGGCAGGATAAATGCTGAATGAATATTAACAAAACTGTGTCAATAGCCCCTTCCATCAACACATGCTTGTTTACAAAAACGGACGTTATAGAGGACAGCAAATACATGCCTATCGATAATACGACCGTCACGTTGTTCTTCATGCTTTTGGATATGGAATATGAGGGATTCCTATGGAATGATGAATATGATAACTAATGTATACATAGACAAAAGGTTGAGAACTTCCTACTCTTTCAAATTATGTAAAATCACAAAACTAACAAATTTGCATTGGAAATGATTTTATTGCACGTGTTGGAATTTCCCTTGTACCTTGCATCATTATTATATAAGCAGGGCTGAAAAAAAAAAAAAAATGGTACCTCGTGAAAAAAGTGCCACTGTTTTCGAGAGGCAAGGAAAGGGGGGAAGAGTATTAACTTTGAGTGTTGCTGTGACTCAAAGTGGTATTAGTTTTTTTTTTTTCCTTATGCAGATTTAATGTGTCCCCTTTCACCTCTGGAAAGTGATTACAGACTAGCTGGTGGTGATATAGGTCGATTAAACAGATAAAAAAAGGAAGGAAAAAAAAAAAAAAAAAAAAAAAAAAAAGCACTAAATAAGTCTGAGAATAAATAGATATAGTCGCCTCCTTAGGCACATTTTTTTTTACGAAGTAACATTATATATGTGTACAAACATGTATGACATTCGCACAAGCATACATGTGTAATTTTTTTTTTTTTCTTTTTCCTTTTTTTTGCATGTGTGCACGAATTTGTTTTTATTAACAGTCATACTAATCTGAAGAACATTCGAGCAATTTGCATGACCAGGAATTTTTTTTTTTTTTTTTTTTTTTTAATATAGCTAGCCTATACAAGATTGGAAGAACTGTGTGCATTTTCGGCCTGGAAAAAGCTTCATTTATTTTTATGTATTTATTTTTGCATATTTATTTTTGTATCCAAGTGAACATTTCTCCACACATTGACCCAGCGTTTTCTCATTTTTTGAGAATCTGCATGTATTGTAAAAAGAAGGAAAAAAATAGTAAAAAAGGTGCGCCGCACATTCGTATATATTTTGTATAAGGCAAGAAAGGATGACGACATAGGGACATTTTCCTTTACCAGAAGAACATGGAGCTTCTCTCATATCGCTTTTTTTGCTAAGCATGTCTGAAGAAAAAATATGGTAAAAAAATGCATGTTAATCTATTTGTTCAAATTTGCAGTACGTCGGATTTTTGTTTTCTTTTTTTTTTGTTTTTTTTTTTTTGTTTTTTTTTTTTTGTTTTTTTTTAAAAATAAGTACCCGTTTCATCGGATTGAGTCCATTCATATTTCTTGTGCGATTTTAATTTTTATTTTTTTCGTTTTTCTTTTTTACCATTTATGAATGAACTAGGGGAAAATTTCCTTAAACGATTTTCCACTTATGCAGATTAACGGTCTATTTGGAAAAAATTTCCTCAGAAGGAGATTTTCCCAAGCCTCCAAGTCAACTCTGGACATAAAAAAATCGTAAGAAATGTTTGAGTCATTATATTAGTGTTGCTCCCCTTTTTTTGTGTGTAATGGATTGAGTTGTAGGGGTGTACTGGAGGGGTGCATCAAATCCTGTTGTTCGTCAAGAGGTGTAGTCTCACCTCGGATATTTGGGTATAGCAGGACGATTCACAGCTCCTCACGTCATCTCAATGCACCACACACATTTCACTGCAGGGTGCTTTACCAAGATGATGATTACATCGTTATTGACAAGGGATATGGCTTATCGACATTTGGACAAGGTTCTAATAAAGAAAGCATAATAAAAAAGTTGCATTTCTTAAACCTACATGATCATGAGAATGCGAACATTGTTTACAAATTACACAACCACGTAGGGGGATGTTTACTGATATGTACAAATAAATTTGTGAAAAATCACTCGTATGAAAATACCTTTTTAGCATTAGTATATGGGAGAGTTGAAAAGGAACATAATGCAGAAATAAAGTTACGTTTAAAATATTTACCCAATTCTAGAATTATGATTCCGTCAAATAATTATGAACACATGAGAGATCTTAAGATGATTAAATATGATGTTATTAGCAATTCAATTATGTATGAGAAGCATTATTATAGCTTGTTGAAGATTTTTACAAATGCTAACAACTCCAAGTATATAAAACCCTTGTTATTTTACTCCTTGTATACATGTATAGTTGGAGATAATGAATATGTGGGTGTCTGGAAGAATCTGAAAAAAAATGGTTTCTTTGTTTTTCGAGACATAAAAGGACAGGTGTACAAAGCCAGGCAATTTTTGCTAAAGAGGATAACGCAGATTAGTAAAAATAATGAATTGATGCTACATTTGCATTGTTTGAATGTCACCTTTCAATCTACTTGTAACCAAGTTATATCCATATCAGCTCCACTTCCTCAACATATGCGAAACACATTAAGCTTCTTAGGTTCCCCATCATTAATTCAAAACATCGAAGCAAATGTTAGGGATCAAAATGAATCGTCCTTTTTGATAAATAAGAAAGCAAACTTTTTTTCACATATGGAAGAAAGCAACATTCTAGATGATGCTACTTTTGCACAAAATGGGAAGAATATAGACACAGATGAAAACTCTAAATTATATGATATGATGCAGGATGAAGGAAGAATGGAATGCGAAAATGAAGAGCTCTTAAATGTGATATATAATAAACAAAATGCCAATAAAAAGGGGGAGAAGAACAAATCTCAATCCAGAAGAGGAAAACTAGCAAAGCAAGTAAGCAAGTTGACTTGTTCCGACGCTCCTATTTTCTTAGCGGACGTTGAATGAAGAAAGTTTCTGGAATCTGCTCATCTTGTCGGTCCTTACATATATATGTCAATATTTTTTTTTTATCTCTTCACGTTTGTAATTTTGCGCTCATATGGGTATGCTCAGGAGGGGATTCACATTTCTGCTCCAAACGATAAAACGAGTAGAAGATGTGCTTGAAAATGGGAAAAAAAAAAAAAAAAAAAAAAAACACTACAGTAACACAGCTTTTGTAAGTGTTTTTCTTCATAGCTCATCTAATAATCTCTCAAAATTCTGCGTGTCCAGGGTATCTAGGGAAGGGGATAGTATCCTTTATGTTATCTACTCCAGTCACCAACATAATTAATCGTTCGAAACCTAATCCAAATCCGGAATGAGGATGAGATCCGAATTTCCTCAATTGCCTATACCACCAATAACTTTCCATGTTAAGTTTTTTTTCAATTATCATTTTGTCTAAGAGTTCTAAGTTATCCTCTCTTTGGGAACCACCAATAATTTCTCCAATTTTTGGAACCAACACATCCATAGCTGCAACTGTTTTTTGATCATCATTTAATTTCATATAGAATGCTTTTAAATCCTTGGGATAATTATATACAATAACTGGCTTTTTAAATATTTGCTCTGATATGAACCTTTCATGTTCTGATTGTAAATCCATACCCCATTTTACTGGAACATCAAATTTATCTGAATATTTCAACAAAATTTCTATAACATTTGTGTATGTTATTTTTGCAAAATTTTCATTTAAAATGTTTTTTAACCTATTGATTAATCCATTTTCTACATTTTCTTCAAAGTAGTAAATGTCGTCAAAATTGTTATTAAGTACATACTGGATGCAGTATTTTATGTAAGATTCTGCTAATTCCATGTTGTCATATAAATCTGAAAAGGCTATTTCTGGTTCTATCATCCAAAATTCTGCCAAATGTCTTGATGTGTGTGAATTTTCAGCTCTAAAGGTTGGTCCAAAGGTATAAACATCTCCCATAGAAGAACATAAATTTTCCAGGGATAATTGCCCACTCACAGTGAGAAATGCTTGTTTGTTAAAAAAATCCTTTTTGTAATCAATCAAATATTGATCTTGGGATGAAATAATCCCTACGTTTCCTACATCACCATTGCTTCCCTGAGCAATGGATGATATTTCCTCTCTTTTCTCCTTCTTCCCTCCCCCCTTATTTGCCTTAACTCTAGGTATGGAATTATAATTTGCATCCTCTCCCAATAATGTAGTAACAGTGAACATTTCTCCACCACCTTCACAATCCGAAGTGGTAATTAATGGTGTGTGAATATATAAAAATCCTCTGCTTTGGAAAAACAAATGGGTAGCTGTAGCCAAAGCATTTCTAATTCTAATAACTGAACTGATAAAATAACTACGAGGTCGCAAATGAGCTACTTCTCGTAAGAATTCCTTTCCATGATTTTTTTTTGACAGAGGATATTTCTGTGGATCTAAATTCTCTCCATAAATTTCAAAATTATGTACATTGTTATCATTTAAAGTCAATTCAATGTTTTCTTTTAAAATTCCTTTTTTTCCTTCATTTTGAACAGGTGAAAAAATTAATTGTCCAGTAAAGCGAAAACAACATCCAACACCACACTTTAGCAATTTTTCGTAATTTTCTATACTTTGATCAACAATTACTTGTAAATTTAAATGACAAGAACCATCATTTAGATTTACAAAACAGAATCTCCCACCACCTTGTTTCCTTACTGCTTTACTCCAGCCACATACTGTTATTACTTTATCAATAAATTTATTGCTTCGTGAATTATCATTAAATTCATTTTCACTTTTGGGCACATTTAACACATTCCTTATTTTTATTCTGCTTCTACACCCCTTTTCACTTATCTCTAACAGATTATAATTCGGTTTTAATAATCCTTCTGTCAAAGGTTTTAACTTTTTTAATTTTATTTCTTCTTCGTTAGCTTTCTGCAAATCCTTTGCCTTTTGTAAAATTTCCTCATCTATTTGGATATCCATTATGGGTGATGGGTCTTTGTGCGTCTTCGCAAGTTTTCGTGGTGGAGAAGGAAATATTCTAAACAATTCTTCCAGATATGGTTTCCAAAATGGTTTGGTATGAAAAAAAAAAAAAAAAAAAAAAAAAAAAAACGTATCAGCAAATTTGATATGGATTTATTCTCAACATTGAGTGGGGATATAACTTCTCAACCTATTTATCTAACTACGATAGAATTTTGTTTTCGTCAGATTACACCTTTCTCTGCAGTGTGAAAAATGTGTACAAATATATATGGAAAATAAACATGAAGAAGCTTGTTCGTTAGTAATTTTGTGTTCATTCTATTTTTCTTCCACGTGAATGAGTCATTGCCTATGGGGTGATAATAACCTTCTACAATCTATGGTATATAAAACATGTAGTTAAACGTTACCTTCAATTAAAAAATTATGACAAATTAGTCTCAGCCACTTTTGGAACTTACTCTCTTTTTATAATAATACTTTTTTTTTACCTAAAAGTTACGCGCAATAAAAAAATAAGCAGAAAAAAAAAGGCAAAACTTTTTAAAGTTCCTCAGGTGAGGAAATGCAAATCTCAAAATTTTTAAATGTATGATAAATGAAAAATTTTGTGCCGAAATGAAAGCTTGTTCTTTATGGGATCGTGCGCATTAAGCAGGATATGTATATATATATATATATATATATATATATATATATATATGCCTTTACGGTATTGTGCACTTTGGCAATAAAATGTGTTAAAAGTGAAGATCACCTTGTGGCACTAAGCAGAATTTCGCTTTACTATTTTTATCCCACTTTTAGCCTACTTTTTTATCCCACTTTTTAGCCTACTTTTTTATTCCACTTTTTAGCCTACTTTTTTATTCCACTTTTTTATTTTTAAATATATACATGCGCATTTTTCTGAGTTTCTTTTCCCCATTCATGGTATCACCTGCTTGGCCTTTTTTTTTGACACACTTCATCTTCTTATTTTTCCCTTTATTTATTTTTTTTTTTTTTTGACCACCCTTGCATTAACATATTGTGTGTGTGTATATATATATATATACATATTTACATTTTAACGCCAAACACATCCCACATTACTTAGTCGAAATTTTTTGAGCAAAAAAAAAAATAAAAATACAGACATGCCACTAATCATTTCTATTAGTCCACAGAACTGTAGAGAATAATGAACGCACCACATCCACTTGAGAAATGCTTGAAAAATGTCAAGTAACATTGTTGAAGGATTTTTTTTTTTTTTTTTTTTTTTCTTTTCAATGTTCCATATCTGAACTTAACCAGTTGTGATTAGTTCTTGGTACTCCACCGTTTGCTCTGAGATTTGAGCACCAAAAGGGCTCATTCATTGAATTGGCCATTTGGAGTAGTTTTTTCTTCTCATTTTTACGAACTCACGTGTGCATGTGTGCATTCATTCGTGCATCTATTTATAAATCAGTTGTACACACACTTGTGTTGTTAAGGCATATTTTGCGACAACAAAAAAAAGAAAAAAATAGTGTAAAAATAACGTAACGGGAATGTAAAAAAAATATATAAAAGAGACGTACTGTATTAAAGTTATGATACTTAAATAAGCGAAACAGAAAGAAAAAGGAGTACACTTAAAAATATGGTCAAAAATGTTGCCCAGAGGATTGCCTAAAAAAAAAAATAAAAAACAGCACTTGAGTTTATAAAGAGCAATACATTAGAAAAAAAAAAACTGTCTTAAAATAATCCTCCATTTAATCAACCAGAACATCACCACAGGGATATACATATAAAATAAAAACTTAAAACAAAAAAATGGAAACGTGGAAATTCTCTAATCTAAAACCCTGCACTGCTGTGGATAAAAAAAAAAAAGCATTCCTATTTTAATTTCAAATTGACCCTTTTAGTAAACGTTTCTTTCTTCTGGGTAAGAGTATAAAATTATGGAAAATAAAAAATTGGTTATTCTCAGGGGATGCAAGGAAAAAAAAAAAGTACATATAGGCAGAGTGCATCACCTACTGTGATATGTAAGTTCTACCAAACTTTTTACTCAAGGTTGTTTATGGTCTTGAAATATGATTAACCAAAAATGAAATCCATGTTTTCCTTTACCCTTGCATTATGTAAGACCTTGGTCTCGTGGAACATATCAAAATACTCAGACCAAAAAAAAAAAGATTTCCTTTTGTGTTTATTTCTATGTAAGCATCTTTTCAATATGTATCTAATCGGGGAAGGTATATCCTTGCTTATACCTAGCTGTTTCTTGGCATAGCCAACGTATGCAATAATGTCCAAAGGATGTTTCAATTCATGAAAGGGTATTTTTCTATGTATCATTTCCCATAATATAACACCAAATGAATATACGTCTGCCTGTTGTGTGTAACCTTCACCTCTTAATATCTCAGGTGCGGTCCACTGATATGTACCAATGATCCCAAGAAATTTTGGTTTTTGGTAAAAATTTTGAACAGATAGGCCAAAATCACAAATTTTTATTTGGCCTGATGTGGACAGTAAAATATTTGATGATTTTAAATCACAATGTAATATACCCTTATAATGTAGGAAGCACATAAAGGCAGTAATATCTTTACACATTTTCATTATGTCCTTTAATTTTATTTTTATCTTATGTTTATGTATTAAATCAAATATACTACCACATTTAATATATTCTAATGCTATTCCTTGAGGCGATTTTAGTGCACCTAAAAATAACGAAACATTTGGGTGCCTTAGCGTTGATAAAATCTCAAGTTCGGAGCAAAATTCATAACTATATTTTTTGTCATTACATAGTTTTAGAGCAATATTATTAATTGAATGTTTTATATATAAATAATCATCATTATATGTTAACAATTTATCGCCATATACACATCGGTATACATTACTATGTCCTCCTCTTCCTATCAAATTTAGATAATGTAATTCTCTTTTTTTTAAAAGAAAAAGTTTCTCATCAATTTGGGAATTTATTTTTTTGCTTCTTTTTTTATATTTATATTTTTCTCTTAATCGTAACAAATATTGTACACACAACGTGATATATTTTTTTGTCATCTTATCACGTATACCCATGCGTTTTAGTAATTTATTTTCCATATATTTTAAACAATATCCATCCATATCATTTCGTATAAAAATTTCTATCATTTTTTTTGGTATTCCAATAAAAAATAAAAAAAAATTCAACTCAAATACGTTCCAATATATACAATTTTGGGCATATGATATGCACTTTCTTCTTCTTCTTCTTCCCTTCTTTAAACATTTTGGTAACATGCATTCTATTTCTTTCTTCAACTCATCATCATTTTTATGCTTCAAAAATGGATTAGTACCCTTATCAATCTTACACTTTATATTTGTTTCTCCTTTCCTCTTTTCTTTCTTTCTTCGATATGTTGATTTTTCCTTGGTATGCCTCTCACCATTCTTAACATTGTCGACAGTGGTGTTTCTGTCTACCCTTTTTCCAATATCAATATTACTTGAGCTAATTTTGTAAAAACTGCTACTCCTACTAGGGATCCCATCTCCTATATTGATATTATGAGCATTCATTTGCATGTCTTCATCATTCTTACCATTACTTTCTATTTCTCGACACCCTTTTCCGTTATGTTTGTCCCTTATGTGGGAATCACTACTAATAGCACTACTACCACTATTAACACTTCTGCCCGTGTCCTTATAACCAAAATTATTTATTTCTACTATATCATCCTTTTTTCCACTTTTCAGTGTACTAACCCTTCTTTTGGCAATTACATTTCTTCTTTCCACGCAGTTATCCATTTCCTTGGAAAAAAAAAATGCCTTGCTGTTTTTTCTCGATTGCGAAAAGGAAAAAATGCATGCAGACGAGGAGCTTCTGTTGCACGTCTTACCTGATTGCTTTTCGCTTTCGATGTTAATAAAAGCGGTAGAGGTCCCCACATTTCGTTTACTAAAAGTGCAATTTACAAATTTGTCGTCATCCGAAATGTGTTCAGCGTTTTCCTTCCCTCGTATGTGTAACCCCTTGCTGTCCTCGTCTCCCATGACAAATGATTCCTTTCCTTCGCCTCTTTCCCCATCGCCTTTGGTAGGTATGACATTTTTATTGCTTAACGGATCAAGCAGTTTCGCAACCAATGCACTTCTCGATACAACGTTACAACATTTTACATCCTCATTGAGATCATTCTCTCTCTTTTCAAACGGATTCATTTTATGAATCCCTCTTAGAACACTGACATGCGTATCGTTATTATCATTTCTAATACTACCATTGGGTAAACTTTCATCATATGTTTCAGAGTTATTTTCTGTAATATCATGAGCGGTTTCATTTGGGCGAAATGAAGTACCTTCAATTGTTTCTTCATTACATATATTATTTACCCATTTAATCTTTGGGGCTGATTCCATTAACATATTTTTCACTGCCATGTTTTCAAAATTATTTTGAAGTTCATTATTTAAAAAAAAATCATTGTCATCCTTTTCGCTTTGTTTATTGGCTGATTCCACAATTTGATAATTTCTTTTCGATATAATAACTGGGATTTTACTCTTAGAACGAGGAAGGTAAAATTCATTCTTGTCTTTTTTATCCTGCACATTCTGCAGCATACTTTTTGATAATTTTTTTCTCAAAATATTTTTAAAATATACTTCTCTTTTACATTTCGAATGGGGAAAGAGTTCACTGGAATCTTCTCTTTTCATTTTTTGCATTAACTGTTGATAAAAATGAATGTAGTTAAAAATGTTGTACTTGTACTGATTTTCTATAAAGTGAGCATCTCTCTCTCTTTTGTTTTTTTCAGTAGTGTCTGGATTGTGGTATGCTAAGTTTTCTTCTTCAGTTGCTTCGTTTTTCACACCTTCGTTTTTCACACCTTCGTTTTTCATACTTTCGTTCTTCACTTTATCACCCTTTGTCACTTCTTCCATTTTTATCTTATCATTTCTGAATGGATAAAAATTACACTTTTCCCCTTCATTTCTTCTTTTCCCACAAAGGGTAGTACATAAGTCTTCTTTTTTATGCTTGCACGGGAGATCATTCACTAAAGAAAATAAAACATCTTTATATATTATTTCATTCCTTAGAAATATACAACTGCACATAGCGTATGTGTTGTAATCAATTAAAATACCATTCCCATGTTTTTTTCCTTCTCTGTAACTCCCTATGTATATATATCTATTTTCGTGAAGACATACATTTCCTTTTGCAAATTCGTCTTCACTATTTTCCTCTACATTCTTTTTATTTTGTTTGTAGTTGTGACTGTACAAGCAACACAGAAGTTCTGATCCAAATAAATGTTTTTGGTCGTTTTCGAACAGTCCCTCATACTTGTTTCCATTGTTGTTAATTGCAATTCCCCATCCATTTCTTTTTTTATTTTTTATACCTCCTATATACACACCTCTGTTTGTCCTTACGTAATGATATTCACATTTTGTTCTTTTTCCCATATCATTTTTCGTAACATTCGTGGCAAATTTGCGCCTTTTTTTTTTTTTTTTTTTTCACAACACATTTTATTGTTTATGTCTTGTATAGAGATATACCTAAGCGTGTATGCGTGCACGAGTGTTGCTGACCGTGTATGCATAAATATCGCTACGACACGTGCTAAATTCTTTATATATAAGTATACATATATATATATATATACACCCTTAGGATTTTAAAATAAGCTAAAATATGTACCGCATCATGTACATGTGGATGTACACCCTCCCCCTTCCTTTCGAGAAGCTATATCTGCATAAAATGCATATTGATAGAGGTTAGTTTTGTGTGTTTCAAGAACTTATGTCTTGCTAGCTGGCCTGTTTAATCTATTTTGTGGTATTTATCACTGTTCTGTACTATGGTTGTTCCTTTTTCCTCCTTTTATTCTTATTCTTTTCTTTCCTTTTCTTTTATTTATCCTTATTAAACTTTATTCCCCGCAAACTCTGCATTTCTTTAAATGTTATAAGGTGTTAGAAAAGTTTGAGTATAGCAACTTTTTATGAACAAAAAATAAAAAATATATGTAAGCAATTCAAATGTTCATAATTTTTTTTCTTGAACGGCAAGGAAAAAAAAAAAAAAAAAAAAAAAAAGCTAGTTAAAAGATTTTGAACGTTAAACAAAATAAGTTATGCTACATTTCAAAAGAAAAAAATATGAATCCATGAAAAAAACATAAAAACCTATTCATTGCGATTGGGCAAAAAAAATTGCATTTTACACCTGTGTTGAAAAGTTTAAGGAGTGGTTTACACAATGTATATGTGCTACATCAAAGAGGAAAAAAAAAAAAAAAAAAAAAAAAAAAAAGAACAATAAAATTTACTCTTGTAAAAGCAATGAACAATAGTTAGGTTGATCATTTTAACAGTTGTGCGTTTTGTTTCTTTTCTTTTGAGTGCTTCCAGATTTAAAGACAATGTAGTAAAGAAATAATTTAATAAGATCTAATGCATATACGAACGTTTTTGCAATAGTTTTTCAAACTTTTTGCAAGTATAATGAAAAAGTTATGCAAAGTAAGTTATGTTATGCTTTTTGTTTATAACAGTTCATTTTATGGAAAAAATTGAAGCCCATTTACGAATGCATACAATGTACACACAAATTCAGTCATATTTTAAAACACAATCTATAGAAATAAATTCATTTTTAACTAGGTAAAAATTAGCAAATCTACGCTTTGTCTTTTAGTAAGTGCCAAAATGATGTTACGCAAGAACGTGTCTATTTATTCACACTTATAAGTGTTACTGTTTGAATGGTCCTCGTATTCGTTTCGTCCATCCGAGCGTCTTCTGTGCATCCCCAACCCCCCTTACTTTTATATAATCCTTTATGAACAATTACAAGAAATATTCAATTAAATTTGGAAATATAGCTTTATGTAAAACATTATTTTCCGTTTTCATATTACACCGAATTTGTTAACACTTTAAAAAAAAAAAAAAAAAAAAAAAAAACACGCAGGGGGTTATTTTGTTTTTGCATATTTCTGAAAAAGTGGGAGAAATTTTCTAATTAAAAAAAAAAAAAAAAAAGAAATGAGAGAAGGAATAACAGTTTGATATGTACAAAAAAAAAAAAAAAAAAAAAAAAAAAAAAAAATTTTCTACATTACTGAAAATATTATTCACTTGATAAGGCAAAACACACGACATATATTCAAGTGCACACTGACATAAAAATAAACATATGTGATTTAAGGGGATGAAATTTGCTAGCGAAATTCAGTCAGAACAAATAACCATAATATTTCGCTTTTTTGTATTTTTTCTGTAAATGTTCAGAAAATACAACAAACAAATCAGAAAAGTAATACAAAATTTTAGCTGTTAGTGAGAGGGAATATATTCTGCAAATGCTTTCCAAATAAACAATTGTGATTTTTTTAAAAAAAAAATACTTTCTGAATAATAGGGAGAATACAACCGGTAGGCATGTTCCTGGGCCATTTACTATTATCGTGTTCATGTTATTCATTTTATAGGTTAAAAATATGCAATATATGAATGTGAAAAATAATTTTACTAATGATACTATGTAAGACTCACCAACATTTCGACATCTTGGAATTACTATAAAGTCCTTTTTATATTCCTTTAATGCATTTTCAGCTTTTTCTTTACTTAATAAGTCATTATTTGCGTAAAAAAAATGAAAACTTATATTCCTATCTTTTATGAGCTTTAATATTTCCAACATCTCAAATGTATGACCTCCTGAGCCTAAGACCACTCCAATTTCGATACAGCCTTTTTTTCTTTTGCATGTGTTATAACCAATCTTATTCTTCAAAAAAAAAAAAATGTAACACACAAAAAAAAGTGCGTTTAAACAGACAAAGGTGGACAACATTTTTTTTTTTTTTTTTTTTTTTTTTCTTTTCTTTCTCTCTACTATGTATTATGAAAATTATTTCTTTGATATGTCCCATAATTTTACATATCCATCATTCTACAGCAAAGAGAGGGGGGAAATGAAGTATAAGTATCAAAATGTTAACGTAACCGTGTGCATGTGAAAATGTGTCCATCTTAAGTTTTTCTTAAACTGTAAATAAGCACCTCTCTTTTTTTCACTTGTATATACGCAGATGAATATGCAGTCAAAATTGCGAAAAAGATATATACAAATATGCACACATGCACATGTTCATATATATATGTACATATGTATATATTGATATTGCTTTCGTTCCTCGAGTAACATTCGACATTTAATCTTACTGCCCATGTTACAAAACGTGATGAGCCAGGCATTGGCAGGACTCCAAAAATCTCGCTTTGGTGGGCATCCATTATTTTGTTTACAAACTGCGAGTAAGAAAGGTGTATGCTTATGAATGTACTGTTTTGTGATTAATAGTTTACACGGTTTGGCGTAGGAACTTGTTAAATTGCAGAATGGGTGAACGGATTTGTAAATAGATGCATGTATATAAGGTTTACACAAATACGTGAATGCAAAGCGCACCTGTAAATTTTCCTGCCTCAGAATTAATAAACTACATCCTGAAGCTGCAATTATGTGGTTAGAATCACCCGACATACCTAAAGCAAAAACATATGTAATAATTTATAAATAAAAAATAATATAAATTTAAAGAGAGGGTATGAATATATGAATCAACATAGGTAAGAGGTTCCCTTACATATTTTCGAGAAATCTTCGAAATTATATTCTTTCAAATCCTTTTTATATAAAATTTTGGATTCCTCTTGAAGCTGAAAAAAAAGTTTTGGGAAAAAATTACACGGTGATTGTATTTCTTTTCTTCTTATGCTTTATTATTAAGCAGATTAACTGGGGTCAATATATATGCGTGTAAAAGTATGTACATGTGCGCGCACCTTATATCGTATGTTCAAGTTGTACACCATCAGAATTCCATTTTTGTCAATTAAAAATGCCTTTTCTTCATCTTCACTAAA